TCTGTTTCTATGTTTCTATGTTATGGAGAAGGAGGCCTACCGAGGATTGAAGTTTCGGACTTACTAGAGACTCAGCTCTGGAAATATGAAGCAATATTTAGGTGCGTGAGGCAGTGAGGCTTTTGGCAGCGCATTTTTAGTGTCAACCAGAAGCAGTTAGAAAGACAAACTCGGCAGCTCCTGAGAGAATAGGGGCTGCTGTGACTGCCCTGGTCTCCAGAGAAGAGCATAACCCCCTAAAAATCGTTCGTTGAGATGGTGGCAGAAGCACTAGAAGCCCAAAAGGAGGCAGCAAGAAAGCTGGGGGTCTCAGTTTCCACTTACTTGGTTGCCACTGGGTGGGACCTTCAGGCGGGGAAGGCAAGTTCGCCCACGGACGGCTCTGGGAAGGCTGGATCCTCTGCGACCTGCTGTGGCCGCAGCGAGGGCTGCCAGCCGGGAACAAAAGCCTGGCGCCTCAGCATCACCTGACTGCTCTCTGGGCGGACGGTGCACTTTTTGCAGCCGGTCAGCACCACTCTTGACCCTCCAGGCCAAAGTGGAGCCCCCCCCTCGCACAGTGGCCTCTTGGGAGCTCCCGGACCTGCATGGCTGTGGCCCCGTGTTGCCTCCTGGAGCAAGCGACGCATACTGGGGGGCGAGCCAGGCGCGGGGGGGGGGGGGCTGCCACATGGGGTGGCAGGTGCAACTGGTTTTCCAGGTTTACAGGCAAGGTTTACATCCAGAACTCGCCCAGCGGAAGACGCTCCTCAGGACAATCTGGTATCAGAGCTTAATGCCAGCTATTTATTATTAGATTTATATTCCACTTTTTAAAAAAGAATTCCAAGTGGCTTCCATCATTCTCCTCCTGCTGCTCTCAGTCCTATTCCCACAACAACCCCGCAAGTTAGGTTGGGCTGAGAGTCTAGGACTGGCCCAAAGTCAGCCCCATGGCTGAGCGGGGACTGAATCCCAGCCCCACGCTCTCAACCACGGCACCACACGGTCTCTTAGCCAGACAGTCACGCCTCAGCTTGACTGCCACCACCTACCAGGCGTCTAGGTGTCTGGTCGGCAGCAGCACACGAGAAAAAGCCTCGGGGGCCAAGCACATTCTTAGCAAGGGAAATCCGACCCAGGCCACCTCCATGCACAGCCAGTTGTTACTTGCCACCAAGCGGTTTCCAAGGCATGGCAGCCCTGAGGAGGAGCCCCCTCAAGAACGCACTGCCTTGTCGTCTCTGCTCCACAATCCGACTAAGCTCAAGGCTGGGACTCCCTGCATGGAATGACCCATCTCCTCGCTGGCCTTCCTCCTCCTCTTCTGCCTTTGACTTTCCCTACCATGGTGGTCTTCCCCGGGAGCCCCCCTTCCCCCCCCCCATGGTTTGCCGAAGCACAACAGCTGCAGTGTCACCATTTTTGCTTCCAGGGAATGTTCTGGCCCGACTGGACCCAGGACCCCCTTGCTCGTCTGTCCGTCCATCCAGGGGATCTGCAAAGCTCTCCCCTCCTGCACCATGTTTCAAAGAATCCCTGCCAGCTTTCACACCCATCCTGAGCAGGCACAGAATACACTAGCACAGATAATCCAGCAATGCAGATGAAATCAGCCTCTGGTGTATGAGGTCACTCCCCCACGGGACCCAGTCCAGATCCGAACTGCACCCAGAATCAGGTCCTAGTTTCGATTCCCTCCCACAGCAAGCAATGAAACCCAAGTGCCACTGTTGCATTTCTACTAGCAAAGTGCTTTTAATTAAAACAAAATAATCTAGTATTGTGCTTCATACTATTTCGAACTGTTACAGAAAACTTTCAACAGAGAGGTGTTACCAGATCAAAACACTTACCAGGTTTCCCCCCTCTCCCACAATACAAACCTTCAAAAGATGCACAGATAAGAAAAGTGAAAGAAATCGACTGAGCTGCAAACTGAAGAGGGATCGGTGGTCCTTGCTTAATTTCATGGAAATGAGAAATCAAAATATTGCCAATTTAACTCCTCCAAACACAGGTGCTTTTATTAGGCTTAGGGCTAGCAATACCGCTTTGTCTCTCGAGGCTGCCTGCCTTTTTGCCCAATGGAATCTCCCAACAGAAACCAGTTGCCGAGTTTTTTTTACACACGGGGTGCTTTTGACTCAAACTTCCACAAGCAGCGCGAAAGGGTGCGTTCCCGAAAAGGCTTTACCCCTGGGTTTGGCTTTTATGGCAAGCTGCTCCACAGGGCAATGCTTGGCACAGCCATCTGTGCGCGCGCGTGTGGATTCATGTGCGCAAATGTTCTTTGCCATCACTTGTACCCTTGCAAAAAGCTAGGGAAGATGTCTGGAAACAGCGCCCCCTGCTGTACAATGGATGTTGCCATCGGCAGGGCGTCGGCAGCCAGCCAGTCCAGCCAATTGAAAGGCAAGGCAAGGCTCCGAAGCCCACCTGCAAAATCTGGGGAGCCAGGAGGGGTTCCCCTTAGTGCCACTCTGCCCCAGGGTTCCTCCGGTGGCTGGATGCGTCTGGACAGGGCTGGACTCAGCAGGAAACCTGCCCCAAAAGCGACCAATGCATTTGCACGGCGCTCAGAACTTACCTCAGAGGCCAAATCAGAATAAAGGAGCATCGACAGGTAAAAACATGTCGCATTTATACAGGGATCCTAAGACACTCAAACAATGCCACATAAATTGGCAACCCTACAAGGTATGCAAATGTCATTACCCCCATAGTGCAGAAGTGGCCGAGGCCACGAGTGGCGCCACAGACCACCGAAACATTCACAGCGGGGTACCACATGAGCTCGGGTTCCTCTCGATCCACGGCACACTCTCTGGAAGCTTGTGCTTCGTTCCCTTTTCCCTTCAAGGTGCCTTTCCACATTATTGCTAACCCCCGTTCAGGTGAGCGTGGCAGTGTGCGGCGCAAAGTGCGCATGGCCAGCCCACACGAGGACTCTTGGCCGAGCGGCACCCGTCTGTTCTACAAAGCGCCTCACGGCAGGAAATTCTCCCCAGGGCGGCACCCTGAGCCAGTCTCGTGCTTCGGCCCGGTTCACACGTTCCTGCTCGTCACGTTCCAGGGACCGATGCCACGTGCGAAACCGTGGGACAGCTGGTGGGGAAATTCGACCCCAAGCCCAGCGGCCCACATCTTGGCGACTGCAAAATCAGGAAAGACTGGGCCACTGCAGATGCGACCCGACACGGAGAATGCGAAGCTTGCTTGGAGCCCGCGAGTTCTTCATCTACCAGGAAACGTCCTGAGGGGCCAAGCCTGGAGCCACGCCCAGGACAGAACCCAACGCACATAACAGGGACCAAAAGGCGGGTTTGTTCTGTCTGCCCCCAAACAAGGGCCAGACATTCCCTTGAAAGACCTGGGGCTGCTCTTGCACTGGTTCAGGTGCAAATCTTTCAAAATAACAACAGTATTCACATAAATTATTGCTGTCATTTTCCTGTGCATATATTTGGCATATAGATAATATTAAAAAGAATAGAAAACGGTGGGGATTTAAAAAAATATCGATCTAGTGCAATATCTAAGGGAGGATATGTTAGGGGGTTAAAAAGAACAGAGAGAGAAATGCGAAGCTATGGCACAATCCTCACTGAGTTCACGCAGAATCAAAATCTTGCAAGCTTTTCCTGGGAACTGGAATGTGCTTCGGATGGCCGGATGGGGGGCATTTCCCCAGGAGGAAGTTCAAACAGAAAGTGGGCCACACTTGTATGTTTTCCTCCCAAAAGGTCGCAAGAGACCCCCGGCTGGGGGTAGAGCGGCATGTGACAAATACACCCTCAACGAAACCCGGACGGCTGACTTGGCTGGTTCCTCGGGGTGTTGGGAGGCCGTTGAGATGAACAAGCCTGGGAGGCAGGATGCAGGACCCCTACCCAGTCCTCTCTCTGCCCTGCAGATCCTGTGCCCCTGCCTCTCAAAAGGGCCAGGGTCAGCGTTCCAGGACCCCTCTCCCCAGGAAGAAGAAGAGCCCCAGAGTGGAAGCACTAGACGGGCCAAGAGCCCACGGCTCCTCTGCCTGCAGAGTGGTTCACAGCACGCAGCAGCTGCTGCTTTGGTACATGAATCGGGGGTGGGGTGCTTTCCCAGCTCTCAATGCCATGCAGCGTCAGGGGGAGGAGGAGAGACCCCTGCTGTGGGGGCCAGAGCCCAGAGTCTCGCCTCCAGCTCTCTCAGGTGGGAATGGTGCCCAAATGCGCTCCCAGGAAACATTCTGGGTAGAGGGAAGTGGGTGCATTTCAGATTTTGGCACTAGGGTGGGGGAAGAGATGCAATTCCGGGGCCCAGTCCCAGCAGTGAGGGGCCAGACCACCTTTTCGTATGGGTGCCTTTTTTAACAAGCAAAGGGCCTGCCACCGTTGGTGTCCCAGTGGTGGACAGACAAAGGCCAAAGTGGCTGAAAGACAAAAAAACATTCAGCCTGCTGCAGGTGTTGGGAGAGACCCCTTGGTCCTTGGACGGCTCTGGAGGCATCACAGGAAACTCCAGATTTCAGGTTCTGAAGTCAGAGGCACGCTGGGGCCCTGCAGCTGGGACACAGGCCTCACCCCCTCGCAACCAGCAGGGGAAGAACCGCATTGCATCGGCTGCTCTCCAAGGCCCATGCCCTCCAGGGAGTGGGGCAAGCGGGGGCAGAAGGGAGGCTGGAGAGGGGCAGGAGCGGCCAGGGGGACATGAGCTATCCTGAGACTTCCACAAGCCCCCTCTGCCCCTCACCCTCTGGGACACCCCACAAAACAGGGCAAAAAGCTGGGCTAACAAACTGCGCAGGGGGGGAGCGTGGCGGGAGGGGTCTCCTGCCTTCCCTAGGGCTGCCCTGCACCTGCCCCTGCCCCAGGCCCAGCCAGGCCCCATCTGGGGCATAATTCAAAAGTCCTGTGGGTCAAAGAGCAGAGCAGAGCACAGCAGAGCACAGCAGAGCGGAGGGAGGGAGGGAGGGAGGGAGGGAGGGATGGAAACAAGCAGGCAAGGACGGGAGGACAGAAGGAAGCATGCATGCAGGGATGGGTGGGTGGGAGGGAGGGAGGTCAGTCGGTCCAAGGCTCCCACAGAAGCAGGGCACAAGAGCGGCCAGGCCAGGCCAGGCCAGGGGGCAGGAGGGGCCAGTCAACCAGGGCTCGGAACTGCAGCGAGGCCTTTACTATTGCGCCCCAACACCCAAATGCCAAGAGGGCAGGATGCCCCATGGACAAGCTGCCCCAGTGGCCTGCTTTGCAAGTGACCATAGCCTACAGTTTGGGGTCTTGAATGCACATTAGCAAGCCATGGTGCATTAGCCACAAACAACCCAGAAAGAGAATCCATGCTTTGCTGTCGGGTTGTGAATGCTGCATAGTTTAAAGCACAGGTTAAAACTGCAGATTGCTGAGAGTTGTTTCCACAGGCTGAGCAGGGCGAGGGCAGGATCCGTGCCCCACAGCAGCTGCCAGTGTCACAACAGTGTCAGGAATGTGGGGGAAGCTCAGCACCATTTGTCTGATCATCTGCCAGACAGACCCTGGTAAAGCAACAAACCATGGATTGATCACGAGTGAAATAAACCATGGTCTCCCTTTGTGGGAGAACTAGGCCACTTCCTTGCAGGCAAAGATGACGGGCTGGAAAAACAGGAACAAGCTCTGGCCAACAAGTTAACCCTGCTAAACAAATCAAAGGACCGGGCTGCTGGAAGCAGGCTGGGGTTCCCGCTAGCCTGGGATTCCGGTCTCCGGGGGCAGCTGCGAACCGGGAGCCTCCAGCAGCTTCTGCGCAGGCTGAGAACACGACGGCAGCTCTGCTCGCTGAGGTATTTGACTGGCCCCCGGCTGAGTTTCCCCTCAGTCCCCGGGAAAAAGGAAAGCCTTTGGGCAAAGCCGGCTCGCTCTCCAAGCCCCGTCCCAGCAAAGAGCGCTCGGTGCTCATGGAAGGACATCCGCCACGTAAGCCAGAATCCTCCGGGCAGCTTCTGCTTCGGATGCCGGCGGTGGCCGAGCCCTCAAAGAATCGTCTGCCTACATTGTGACTCGGCCTTCCGCAATTTCGCCCAAGCGCTGCTCGATCATCAGGCGCAGAACCGAGTACCTGGAAAACAGTCCCCCAGACGCGTCACTGGCAGGGTGCTGCCATGTTGCCGGGGCAGAGCAGGTCGTTTTCCGGCAGCAAGCCACTTTGGCAACCGGGGCTTGTGCCAGGGCAAGCTCAACTCACAACCAGTAACTGTGGGGTGAGCTGGCGAGTCACTTGGTAAGAGCGGCAATCTCCCTCACCCATCAATGCTTGAATCAATAGGACGGCGTGGCCAAGCGGAAGGGGGTGCCCCCTCTCCTTTCGGTGCACCTGTTTCTGCTCCCTCCCCGCATGCTTTCCAGCTGCTCTTGTCTACACAACCCAGCCTACGCAAAGCCTTGCTCACGTCATTTCCGTGGATGTTACCAACCCCGGGGCTCCCACTGACGCCCAAAACAAACACAGAAATTGACTGGGCAAGGCTGCCCCACCAGGCAGCGGACACAGGGCATCTGCAAAGGACCGCCAACCAACTCATCATGAACACGGAGGGCGGCAGAGGCCTGTTCTCCCCTGCGGAGGAAGGCGGGACGCGCTCCGACGGAGCACAGCTCAGGGAACCCAGGCTCCATTTGGACGCCAGGAAGCACTTCCTGACAGTTGGGACCCTGAGGGTGTGGAACGGGCTTCCACGAGAGGTGGCTGAGGCCCCATCGGAGAGGGTGCTCAAAGAGGGGCTGGACGTGCACATGGTGGGCATGTCGTGAGCGGAGCCGGCTGGAGCTGGGGGTCAGACTAGATGGCCCGGGAGACCCCTTCTGCCTCGCTCTGGGCCTATGTAATACAGCTGTGCAAATGTCTGGGGGTGACAAGTTACAAATACAACCCCAAACTGGGCAAATCAAACAAACCAAAAGCAGCACTAAAAAGGGAGCAGTAACCAGGCAAAATAGGATGTGGGGGCACTGACTCAAAGACCGAGGGGGGAGGGGAGTGCGACCCACAACGCAAAGTTAATTCGTGGGGTGGCTGAACATGTCGTGTGAATGGAACCGAGGAGAGAAGAAGGGCACTGCTGAACTCTTATGTGCATTTACTTGGGAAAAAGGCCCACTGAATTCTGAGCCAGCATGCTACTGGAAATGCTTGGCCTTGAGGACTAGAAGCACTTGCTACTGGCCAGAAGAGGCAAAACTTACTTGCGCTTCAGTTTTTTCACTTCACGGTCTTCTTCCTCTTTCAGTTTCTGGATGAAGCTTTTCAGGACAGGCATTTCAAATTTAATGTATTGAGCAACCTGCATGGAGAGAAAAATGGAGCAGGAAGTGGATAAATACACAGTCGCTAAAAGCCTGGCACAGCCCAGGCCTGGCCGGATCCCATTCTTCCCCTCCAAGGGCTTGACAAGCACCCGTTCAAGTGGGACTGGCCCGCAACTGTCACAGGAAGTAAGTGAAGGACTCACGTCATAGGTGACCTCTTCCACCTGGTCCTTCTCCATCAGAAAAACCTTGCAGACCTGTTCACACGGCCCCTGCAGGATCCGGGCAACCAGCGGGTAATCCGTGGCCTTTAGCTTCTGCTTTTCTGAATGGAATGGAAGCACAGCAAAGAGGAGGCATTACTGGCTGCGGAAAGCAGGCGATCAGGCAGCCCCCCGTCCACGCCGGGACAGCCTTCGCCAACCCTCTGAACGGACCGCTCACCTCCGCTGGTGTGAACAATGTACAGGGCAAATTCCTCAGCTGAGTTCTCGATCTGCAAAAGAGCATTGCAAAGGTGACATCCAGGCAAATACGAATTTGTCTAGGTCACCCAGAGGACTGAGAGAGAGAACTGGGCACGTGCAGCCTTGAGAAGACCGGGGGGAGGGGGCATGCGACCCTCTATAAGTAGCTCAAAGGCCGCCACAAAGAGGAGGGTCAAGACCTTTTCTCGCTGATGCCCAAGTGCAGGACATGGAAGAATCAATTCAAGCTGCAACAACCCCGATTCAGGCTGGACATCAGGAAAAGCTTCCTCACTGCCAGAGCAATAGGACAGTGGGACCGGCTGCCTGGAGAGGTGGGGGCTCCCCCACACTGGGGACATTCAAGGGGAAACTGGGCAGCCACCTGAGTGGGACGGTATGACGTGGTGTCCTGCAGCAGCAGGGGGTGGACCCAAGGACCTTCATGGCCCCTTCCAGCTCTGCCATTGATTCTACGATCTCACAAAGAGCTTCTTGCCTGACGCATGCTGGAGAAAGGGTTCCTTGCTCTGCAGTCAGGCTGAACTGGCAAAGACTACAACCTTTCTGTTCCATTCTAGTTTCCTGCAAAGGGCACTGGCCCGAGTCCCGGGGTGGCAGGCGTGCCAGGCCGCAGATGGAGAAATACGGCCGTGGGATGCGACCCCGAGGCAGGTGCGCCAGCTCAAGCCCCCTGCCGGAGCTGCGTGATGGATGGGGTTCCACTGGGTTTGCCACGGCAGGCAGCAGAGAGAGAGCAGAAACACGCCATGGGGGCGCAAAACCTGCCTTAAACTTGTTGAGCAGCAGCTTCAGGACCTGTGGCGTCGTCATGGTGCTGTTTATCCGGACATTTGTGATGGAGCCATACGCCGGAGTGAACACGGAGGTCTGCGGAAGGCACAGGAATGCAGTGGGTTGCAGAATGGCCCAGCGACTGGGAGCCAGTGAACGCGTGAGATTCAATAGCTCTGGGAAACGGCACAAGGACCGCGCATCGTAACCGGCAGCTCTGCGAATGAATTGCTCTGAGCTACCCGGCAACTAGCCATGGGCAAACAGGGCAGCTTGTGGGAAATTACACCGGATGCCCGCAGCATGTCGTGGGTTGTCCGGTCGTGCAAAGCAGGCCAGTGCCTGACCAGAGAGGGGGTTCTGTGAAATTCTGTAAACCTGAACGTGGGGGGAGGTTAAAATTGACAATCATCAGAGGAACTAGCAACAGATCTGTAGGCCTAAAAACCCCGTTTCCGGGCACAGCTGCTCCCGAGTCTGTCAATAGCCGAAGCGCTGTTCTTAACTCCAGCATTCTGAAATGTTATGCGAAGATGCGAGCAGAGATCTCGGAGGCTGCGAGGCTCACCTTGTGATTGTAGAAATGCCCGTTGATGGAGAACCGGTGGCGTCTGATCCGCCGCTGCTCGCTCGGGGTGCGGAGATTTCCTCTCCGGCGCACGCCGACATCACTCCGTGTGCGCATCAGCTGAGGGACATCTTCCTGCTGGGGTTTGAGATCTCTGTCATCTGAAATGGAGATCGTGAAATGGACCAAAATTTGTAAAACATTCCAGGTTCTGGTGGGCAAAAGTTTTCTGGAGGGATGCCATATCCCGTCCTCATAGGAACAGGAAGTTCACAGGGTCAGCGGCGCAAACCTGCTCCTGCACTGCTCCCAAGTCCCTTCCTTGGACAGAATCAAAGCTGCACTGGATTGTACTGCTGGTTTATGGACCCAGTGCCTTGTTTCCAGGGATGGATAGCCAGATGGCTTTGGGAAACCCAGACACGGAGGACAAATGACCTCTTTTCTTTAGGAAGTGAAGCACTGCCAGAACCAGTGTGCAAGTCTCCCCATGGAAAGAGGTGCACCACCTAGTACTCTGCATGGATGCTTTCCCGAGGCGTGTGTCCCAGGTCTGTTTTCCGTGAGGACAGCTATGCATGTCTGCACACCCCAAACGCTGCTATTTACACACAGGTTGCAAAAAGGAAAAAGAAACGAGGAATGGGGAGATCAAGGTCCTTGGTGGAAACACTGCTGGATGTTTTGGGCACGCTGCACAAGGGCAATATTCCAAGTTGCCGCTAGACGGCTCCCCGAGGCCACTGGGAAAAAGCCCAGCACCTGGCCCAGCACGGTGCCCGCAAGTCTGTTGCACTACAGCTCCCAGTGCTGCCAAGTCCTGAGCCAAGCCGGCAAGCAGCATTCCTTTGCTTGTGGTGTTGGGCTGCAGGGAATGATTATTATGCCACCATGATTATTCCACTGCATTCATATCCCACTCGTTTCCTCTTGGGAGAAAGCCCAGGAGCCCCCCCTGCTGCATTTTACCCTCACAACAACCAGCCTGTGAGTCAGGCAAGGCTGAGGAGTGACCAGTTGCCCAGTGAGTTTCAGAGCTGTGTGGGGACAAACCCACAGATCTTCCAGACCCCCAGTCCGGCACCCGAGCCCCCATGTCATTCGAATGATGCCAATTTCCAGATTTTTCCGGCAACCAGGTTGCCTTGCATGGATCACCACACGGCCCACATTTCTAGGTCATCTGAAAGTCCCCGAAGATACCCCAAGCCCGTGATGGAAGACGGCAGAGCTCCGCTGGAGAGGTGTGTCCTCAGGAGTGGAGCTAAAGTAGGGCACGGAAAGGACCCTGCCTGCGAGGGGCTTGCAAGCCTGCCCCACGAAGACGCCTGCTCGCTTTGCCACAGAATACAGAGCTCTCTTCCCACGGACATTCACCCGAGCCAGAGCCTGAGCGCTTTCCAGGTGGACCTGGCTTTATTGCCAGGAATTCAGCTAGAATGTACCTGATATATCTATCTAGACCACAGAATCATGCTTGGGATGGAACCCAACCCTTGCGGGAAACTGCCCAGGGAGCTTCAGCTATGGGCTGGCATGGAAGAGAGAAGACGATGCTGGCGATGGAAAGCAGAATGCGCCGCTTCGTCTCTTCAAACAGACCCTGGAATTGTGAGGAAAGGACTAGTTGGGCCACTCCATCGTGGTGGCCGTTTTGCTGCACCTGCACCAGCAACTGCAGCGCTGGGACACAGCAGAGAGGACCAGCGAGCGGATGAAGCAGGGATGGCGGTGTCCCACCCGACCGCGAGCCGCCCATGGAGGGCGGCTGCGGGCTCTCCCCAGCGCCACAGTCCTTTACATAAAAGCCGGGCGGGGGCGGGAGCTGCTCCCACAGGGCCCTGGCGGAAAGCACGGCCTCGCGATCTGCTTCTAATGAGCTCCTTCAAGACACGCCCCGCCTCTGGCTCGCCGTGTGGGTTGAGCTTCTCGCTCCCACTTCAAACCCCAAAGAGCTCCAGCAGGATTCCATCAGAAAAGCAACGCTGCGCTTTCCATCCCTGCGGCAAGGACTGTCTTGGGGGCCACCCTCGGGGCCAGGGCCCCCCAGCCAGAGTGGGAGAAGGCCGGGCATGCATCCGCCAGGGTGCCAAGGGGCAGCTAAGCCACACACGGCCCTGCTCCCCGCCGGGGGCTCCCGCCACAGCCTCGGCTGCCCCCACTACTGTGCGGGGACAATCCTGCTGAGAGCAAAGCCCCAGAGGCGCTGCGTGGACACAGCCCCCTTCGGCGTCCGCACCAGCAAGTCTCACCCGCCTGCCACCGACCGCTATAGTCGACCACTCTGGGAACAACGCTACACACACTTCGGCGGGATCTATGTTGTAAGCCGCCCCGAGGCTTCGGCGAATGGGGTGGCATAAAAATGTTTAAATAAATAAATAAATAAATAAATAAATAAATAAATAAATAAATAAATAAATGGCCCCGCAACACCCACATTCGGGCAAGGCAGAGTCCTTCAGGCTTGGGAGGTCGCTTTGAGGCAGGCCTGTGAGCCGAGCTGAGCCTCCTGAGGGGAAAAAGGATGGGATGCAGCAGAACAAGCGAAGACATCGCCAGACGACTGGCCGCTTGCATTCGGGGCCAGGCCTCTGGGACTCAGGACAACGCCGGGGAGGCAGGGAAGGGAGCTGCCCGAATTCATGTGCGCAGCAGCCCCGTGAAGGATGCCATGGCAGCCACCCAGCCAAACAGCTTCCCAGCCAAGCAGAGATGTGGACTCGGGTCTCAGTGCCCTGGTGGGGAGGAGGAGAAGTACCTCCCTCCCTCATCTCAGCGCGTCCCGGCCAACCCATGTCACCGGGCTACGCTCCCATCACACGCACACCCCACACCCTCGTTTCCGGCAGCCGGCGCCTCGCAGAGCGAAGCATTTCAAGACCAAAGCGGGAAACCGAAGGGCCAGGCGCGTTCCCTGCAGGGAGCTCAGGCGATGGCAGCCATGCGGGGCCCCAGCTGGGGAAGCGGGGAGCGGGGACCCCCCTCAGCATCGCAGCCCACGGGGGAAGCCGCCAGTGGCGAGGCTGGGATGCGGGTGGTGCTCGTCCCGTCTCCACGTGCTTCAGGCCGCGTCTTTAGAAGCCTAAAGGGTGCCGCTCTGCGCTTCCAGACACACCGCAAGCCCTCGAGCGCCACAAAGGGGCCAAGAGGTGGATTAGGGGCCGCGGCCCGCCCGCTCAAGGGGAAGGCCGATCCCGGCTTACGGGGGAAGAGCTCCCTGTGGAAGGTGGCGTTTATCTGCGGCAATCCAGCTTCACAATGGTTTCTGTTGTGCACTTTTCAAGCTGCGGGGGGGCGGGGGGGAGCTCCACTGGCACGACAAAGTGGAGCAAATCCTCCGTGCACCCTCGCACGGTCTGGCACGCCGTGTAGGTCTCCGCACTGCTCCACTTTTAGCTCAGACTGAAGTCGGGGTTCGGCATTTGCTTCCCACAGCTGCCAGCCACGGGCCTCCCGGCAGTCCTCAAGCCGTGCGAAAACCGCCCCTTTGCCGGGCCCGGCCGGAAGAGGCTCCGGCATGACGTCACGCTCTGCAGAAGGGCCCCCAGCTTCGGTGCCGGTACACAGCACTGGTGCTCAGAGCGAGAGAGCAGCAGCATTGTCCTGCCCACCCCAGTGGGGACCGCCGTGTGGTGCAAAAGTTACAGGGTATTTTAAACCCAAAGAAACAGAACCGAGGCACCTCCTGGTGCAGGGTTCCTGGGGAACCATTCACTTCTATGGGATACCACTGCGCAGTCCAGGTCATCCAGCTGTCTGGTGGCAGCAAATCATGAACTACGTTGGACAGAACCCCATGGGGGGGCACCAGGATTACCCCCTAATGCCCCACCCCTTAGTCCTGTTTCTTGGTGCAATGTTTTTGCTATAGATTAATGAGAGATTTGGGATAAGGTTTCACTCCCAGAGACTCAGGTGGCCATTCAGATACTGAATTCTCATTATCATTTATCACCCTGAAAATGGCTGTATTTCCCAATAGCTGAAGCTCTACCTTTTTTACTGTGATAGTAATATTTTAATTATCATAATTATTGCTGTTGTAATTATCATCTTCCTCAATTACCCCAGATATAATGAAAGAAAAGACCTCCACTGCAGATTCCCAGCCTCTGAAGCCCAGCACGCACCGCCTCCCGCCTCTTCGACTTACCACCATCAGCGCCGGATGATGCGTCCGAGACCTGAATGTCTGGTAAGTTCGTGGGTTTTATGACAGACCTAAGAGGGAAAGAAGCAGAACTTGGGGTTAGAAACTTCCAGGGATTGTTCCAAGTCTTCTAAAAGTGGAGAAGAGCTTCATCAGGGCTGCTTCCCAACCGACTAAAGATTAGTCACTTACCTTTCAAGTGATGCCTTGAGGTTGAATACGTCTGCAAATTACCAAGCTATGGGAGTGGGAGATCTTGCAAAAGATTGGAGGAAAGACCCTCGTTTCCACCAGCAGAGGAAGCCCTCTGCCCTTTCCCTTCTCTCCCTTTTGCATGCGTCAAAAGCTTCAGGCCATCACTTGACGCAAAGAGGCTTTTAAATGTGGACTCGACTGCTCGTTTAGCATGTCAGCACACGGCCTTCTCCAGGAAGCCTTGACGCGTCGCAAGTCGGGCGGCCCGTTTTGTCAGTTTTGCTACTAGAGAAAGCTCTGACTTGACTGGGTCAAGGCCAGCACAGGCGGTCTGCTCACGCCCAGTGTCCGAAACAGGGACACGCTGCAGCTACTGCTGTGAGTAGGAAAAGGAGGCGCCAAAGTATGTTCCCTGTGCTTATGGAAGCCACCTCGGCAATCTTCTCCCCCCCCCCACCCCCAACACCTCCTTATCAGCGTGGACTTTGTCGGAGCTGCGGATTTATCAAGGGAGGTACGTGCACACAGGGCGTCACTAGCAAGCAAGCGGGCTTGGCATCTAGGAGCCCTTCGGGTGTCTTGGCCCACAACCCCCCCACTCCCGCTGGTTCTGTGGGTTGAGGTGGCTGAGATCCGCAGCCACACACTGCTCGCCCACAAACCGCTCTCAAACACGGGCTGGTTTTCTACATGGGCTCTCCTGACATGCAGGGAGTTCAGCCACACAACCCATGTGCCTGCAATCTGGCATGGCCCTGTCCAGGACTCTGCCACGGGGTTTTGCACAATGCGTGCCACGTTTGGAGCAGCCGGCAACAGATTCCAGCAAGCAGGAGTTTACTGAGCCATTCCCAAAACATCCTTCCTCCTCCGGCAGAAGCTCTGACGCCACCCTTGCTGCAATTTTTCCTGACCAAACTCCTATTTATCCTGCAACCTGTGATCACCAAGATTATAATGTTCCATAAGCAGAAAGAACAGGCACTCGAGGCTGGGTATTCTAGGTTTGCAGGTGTGATCTTGGAGCCCGTGGCTACAGACAGCTCTGCTCTTGTACCTGGCTGTGTTTTCTGTCCAAGGAGAACAAGGGGCAGAGCAGGGAATGAGAGGAGGCTGACGCTCTGGCTCGCTCCGCTCTTGTTCAAAATCATCACTGGATTAGGCCAGGTGGATCCAGAGGCACGACATGCAGCTCCCAGAAGCAAGTCTATTTTATCTTACTTAAGCTCGGTGGTTCTGTTTCTCCTCGCAGCCCGATTTAGTCCTCATCCCTCCCCACTTTGCTTCCACACGTGCCTTTCACCATTCCTGCCAGCATCACACAAGCCCCTAAATGCCTTCAGGGCAGTCACGACAGGGTTGTGTGACCTTAAAAGCAAACCAGCGCAAGCAGCTGAAACGCATGAAGAAAAATGATGCACGATGGCACAGCTGCAGATGGGGAGAATTCACAGTGCAACATCCTGTCCCTCCAGAGACGGCAGGCGCAAACAGGGCCTCCGCTCAGATGAAAAGAATTACATGCTGCAGGCGCCGTGCTAGGTGCGCCGCGCACGCACACCCATCTGCCACATGGGCCTGGCCCACCCCGGGGGGCACCCCCACCCTGCCAGGCTTTCTACACACAGCCCGGCTCCTGGGCTGAAGGCGAGCCCGGCCCGTATCCCAGAGGCGATGCAGCTGCAGCACGGATGAGCGGCACTGGATCCCACACTGACCCGTGTGCCCCCAGGTTGCAGCCGGAGTGCCAGGAGGAGGAGGAGGGCGGGGGGCGGATGCGCTGGTGGTCGTCCTGCATCTGGAGGCGGATGGGCCTGCGCAGCCCCCAGGAGATGTTGAGCAGCCCCTCCACGATGAATTCTCCGTCTTCCTACGGGCACAGAAGGGGGCGGGAAGAGAAATCTCTGGGGCTGGTTCTGGCACTGGGCCCCTACAGGGAGGGGCCCGAAAGGACGTGCCGCCCTTGGTCCCGGGATCTTCTGGGGACTGGGGAACCGGAAGGAAGCGGCCGAGGCTGCACATTCTTTCGGTAGGCCCCCTTGCGCCTGGCCCTGTTACCAAGTGTTCAGTTCTTCGCTGAAATGTGAAGAAAGAGGAAATCTGTGCACATCCAGTTCCGCCCTAATTTGCAGGAGTCGGAGGAGCCTGCTTTTGGGGTGTGCAGAACGATGTTTGCCCAGGCACCACTCTCTCCTTCGAAACTTGCTTTTCAAAGCACCCTGGCCGAAGCGCCCCCGTCTTACCTCCCTGTGCCGCAGCTGCAAGTTCTGACCTTCGTAGTACAGGTTGTACGTCTTCAGGTGTAGCAACAGCTCATTTCTGGAAGATTTGAAATGGAAGAGGAGTTAGAAGGGGGACCCCCACACCCAGAAGCAGGATCCCCATTTTCCAGAGCGGGTTTAAAAACAGTGGGGCCATATTCTGGGGTCAGCCGTTTCTCTGCGTTCACATGTGCCAGCTGTGCTCAGGCCAGCCCACGCAGCCCGAGCATGGGGAGCAGGCCGTGGGTGGGCCCCGAATCCAGCCCTGCACAGGGACCGGCAGAAGCCCCTGCACGCCTCCTTCCGAGCACCGGGCAGAGGCCGCTCTGCACTTCACACTCCTGCACGAAACGTGCACGTGCAACCTGGCTGCCGTCCCCCAGCGAGCATCTCCAGCCCGGTGCCCTCCTAGCTGGGCAGCTGGGTGCTGGCTGGGGATGATGGGAGTGAGAGTCCCACACGCTCAGAGGGCACCAGGCTGGGGAGGGCTGCAGTCAGGCGGGGGAAGCACCTCCTCGCCTCGCCGCCTGCACGGTCCCTTCGCTTCCCGCACACGCGCTTGTGCCGGAAGAAGTCTCTCACTTACCTTGAGATGTATCTGTCTTGCCCACAAGGGACCAGGGAGTCGTCACTGATGTAGGCCATCCTTGGGACGGATCGGCCGTTAGGAACAGAGGCCTGTGTGGAAAGGGAGGAAAGGTTACCAGGGCATGCGTTTTGCCTTCCTTCATCAGAGAAGGAAAAGAGCGTCCTGATGGAAAGGCGGCCCACGGCCAGTGACGTGTGGTGGCCAAGAGCACAGGCCTGGGACTCCAGAGAGCCGGGCTCTCGTCCCTGCTCAGCCCGGCACCCAGCTGGGCGACTTTGGGCTGGTCACAGAAAAACGGTGGGATACAAATGCAGTAACTAAAAGGTTTCCAGCAATCCAGAGAGGAAAAGGGAAGCTGCAGAAGGGAGCACCGAGCAGAGTTCATTTTTCGGAGAACTGCAGCTTCTATTTTGAAAAGGAACGGATGATGACGGCGACTGGGACGGCAAAGATCGCATGAAAATACCTACAGCTGTCTCTGAATTCAACTCACTGGGGACTGGCATCCCGCTCTTTCATAAGGGACAGAACAAGAATTATGCCAATACATTCGTCCAAATAAGCTCACTTTGCTATTTTCAATTGGTGGTAGAATTTGCTTTCCTTGGTGCAAAATTCAGATGGCCTGGACGTTGACTTCAAAGAACAAAGATACCGTGCCAAGAAAAGCTGCAACTTGTATGCACTGTCCAAACAATCCCCATTTTGCAACGGCTCCCATTTTGCACGTCTTCCACCTGTCCAAGCGATGCTGCAAGACTTTGTTCTGCTTTTGCACATTTCTGCGCGGGGAGAAGGGCCGTGGAGGGTGCTGCAGCTCTGGCTTCCAAAGCACCAGCTCCCATTGCCCAGGAATTTTCAAGCATATTTTTGTAGCCATGAGGACTAGTAAAGTGAGCTCTTCCTTTGCAACCCAGCAACCTCTTAAGCGCTAATTAGTTTTCTGCAAGTGAGGCTACCTTTTAACACGCCTCTCCTGCTCCCAGGGGACTGCAGTTTACATGCTGCTCAGGACATAAACCCTCGGACAAATGCTCTGGCTTGGGTCCTTGAACAGAAGCCCGATATTTTTGAAGGCTCGAAGCAGGAAGCGCCGGTGCTGAGCACCACCATGGCATCCGCAAGACATTGTTCTCCAGAAGACAGGGGCGCGGAACAGAAGAACTAAGAATATCGCAGCCTCCCTGCAGAACGGCTGTCTAAACTCTGCAATTTCCTGCCTCTTTCTGCTTGGTTTCGTAACCCCCCTCCCCCCCCCCCCCCCCCCCCCCCCCGCAGGTCATGGCTGCTTGATTGGGCATTTCCTTCTGCTTTGTTTGGAAGGTTGAAGTCACTCAGTTTTGGAACATGGAGGCTCACCGAGCGAGCGTCTTGGCTGCAGGAGGCCATGGTTGGGATGCTGCCCTGCAGAAGCAGTGGACGGGCAGCCGGACAAGCCGGCCCCGCAGCTCAGGCGGTGGAGGAGCTGGGACAAGAGGCTGCCCGGCCTTCCACAGCCCCCAGGGCAGCGGGGCAGACCAGTGTGGCTGCACTAGGGCTGGCCAGGGAGCCAGCCACAGGGGGCGTCCCTGGGCAAAGCCAAGGTGGTTTCCTCCTCCCAGGGCCAGCCTCTCCGCACAAGCAGTCGGAGCGGCTATGGCGTGTGGCTGGCGATATTTCCACAGGTGCCAAAAGCGCCATGCACCGCCCAGAGAGTCTTGGCTATCAGGAGATCTAAAGGAGCAAATTAAAAAGATGACAAGGCATGCCGTCCAAAGGCCAAGCTGTGAACGCACACCCCACGGTCTCTGTCGAGACTTCAGAGCAGCCGGGCCTCTTCCAATGTTCTGTTCACACACATGGCTGGGCTTCCTGAGCAGACACAGAAAGCTGCAGATTGGTTTGACTCCCGTGGGGGAAATGGAAGGACAGACTGGCTCAAGGAGCGGGGAATCCCCAGGAATGAGGATGAGCGGAGCAGCCACTGGTTCAGGGGGGCAGCAAAGTGAAGCCACTAAGCTCCATCTCCGACTGTGTGCCAAGCTGGATGCGACACCTCTGGTTTTGCTAAGTGGATCAAGGGGGGGGGCCCTGAGAAGAGGGTGTCTGACCCTTTCCGCCATGCTGCAAGGCTGCTCTTCGCCCCATGGGAAGAAGGGGGAGGGACGAGCAGAGCAGAATCCGCACCCCACAGCTCCACGGCACCTGCAGTGCTTCGCTTGGGGGCTCGCAGGGGGACTGGGCCAACCAAGGGCCACAGCTTTGATCTTCCGGAATCGAAGCTGCGCATCAGCTGCAGGAGACAGACAGTGTTCGCAGAACTCATTGCGCTTCTGCACGTAGGCAGGGCCTTCTCGAGCTGCAGCACATCGCTGAACAATCCAGGCATTCTGCCTTGCCGCCCCCCGTGGGCGTGCCGCCGCCCGGAGCCTGCAAAAGCAGCCAGAGATCGTTGGACAGAATCCCCCATTGCCACCTCTCACCCTTCCCAGACCGCGCGCGCGCACACACGGAGACAAGCTGAGCCAGCCGACAGCAGGACTCGCCAGTGCCTCCTCTGCTGCTCTGGGACACATTCCCAGCAAGAGCAGCTGTGTGCCTTCCCCCTTCCAGATGTTCCAGCCCACCTGCAGGAGCTCAGCTTGCGATGAGCAATGAGCGCCTTGAGCCGTTGCATCCACAGCTGGGAGGGAGCAGCGGGACCCAGCGCCCTCACAGGGTCTGCGGCTGGCAGCCCTGGGGACCCCAGCCCATTGCGTGCCCTGGGGCTGGTCACAGCCACTCAGCCTAGCCTACCTTGCAGGGTGGTTGTGGGGCTGCATAGACTCCATGAAGGAAAAGGAAGGATTGAAACATATCAAATGAACGAGCACAACCCCGATTCGGTGCGGCTTACTTTCAGGTGTGGCCTAAATGAGTCTTCGGTATGTCCACATCCATGTTTTGCTTCTAGTTCAGCTGACTGCAGAAGGAGCCTGTTCCCGCTCCCTTGCCTACCTCACAGGACCGTTGTGAAAAGAAAGGGGGGCAGAATGGATGCCAGCTCAGGGCTGGGATACACAGAGTGTTCTCAATCAATTTGTTGCTACATTTCAATCTATGCTCCAATCAGGGTGGCCACATCGTATGTCTGTCTTTCTCTGTTCCTTGCCAGAACTTTTTCAAAGAAGGAGCAGAGGAAACTACCCTATGACTGTGCTCAGAAGCCACAGGCTCACACACATGGTAGCCAAGCAAAGAGGGGCTGCCTGGATGGAAGCGTGAGGGGAGCTCCGTCCAAAATCCCGGTCCTTATTTGAGGACAGGCATGTGCACGGGTGGAAGCCGCACTCAAAGAACTTCGCAACTCCATTAAGTGTTTGCATAGCCAAAAAAGGGAAGGGCGATTGAAGTCCGAAGGGTGCAGCTACAAGACAAACAGTATTTTGTGACTGCTGGGAGAGGGAAGTCAATTTTTCAGTGCCAGGGTCCTCGTGTGAATTTTTCGTCATTTTCGTTCTTGTTTTATTGCTCCCTTTGATATATTTGCAACGTTACGATAAACACTGCTGCAGAAGTGAGATGTTTTGCCCTTCCTTAATATAGCAAAAGCAGCTGAGCATGTGTTTGAATACTTGCTTATGTTTTGTAAACTGCCCAGAGAGTTTTGGCTACAGGGCAGTGCCAAAATGAAATCAATAGTAACAATGAACAATAAAAACATCTATAGCACCTGCAAGAGATTTCTCCTCCACGGTGCACAAGGCTGCCTGGTTTTAAATGACTCAGTCACGAAACTGGCTGGCTGCTCTCGGGCCAGAGCCTTCCACACCCCGCACGGCCTACCTCACAGGGCTGCTATAAAGCTGAGCAGGAAGCCACCTGTGCTTTGTGTTGCCCTGCGGCTCCCTGGAGGGAGAAAGGGATACAGGCGCGAGCTCGAAAAGAAGATTCCTGCGGAGCCCAAGGGTGTCTGCAGGTGGCAGCAACACCAGTGCGGCCGCAAAGGGTTTTAAGAGTCCGTGGTGGCAGGCGGCCAACCCGCCACCCGCCTGCCCTGCGGCGGGATCGCCACGTGCTCGTCCTTGTGCGCCGCCCCGTCCTTCTCCCGGCTGCCTGGGCTCCTCCTTTCCGAGGGCGACGCTCCTCACTCGCCTCGCCGAAGCCCTTTGCCTTCGCTCCCCCGCTTACCCAGACGGAGCGCCACCTGTCGCCCTGAGGGAGCAGGCTCCATTGCAGGAGCAAGCGCAGGTCCACCTGGCGCAGGAGCATCAGAGATGCACAGGCCCGGTGCGCTGGAGGCAGTCCAAGGATGCCCTCCTGGCTGGAGGTGGCCACCTGACACCGCTGCAGGGCGCCGGGGGGGGGGGCAGACTCCGTGATGGGACGGAACAAAAACGCTTTAAATAAATGATTAAATAAATAAATAAAATCAGCCCTGACGTGCAGGCCTTGCAGCTTTGGGACATGCACTTCCCGGTAGTGCTTTCCAAATGAATTCAAAGCAGGCTTGGAGCAGGTTGGCTGGAGCGAGTCAGAAGGGACCTCTTGGGCCATCTAGTCTGACCCCCGGCTCCAGCCGGCTCCGCTCGTGACATGCCCACCATGTGCAGCAATTGCGCAGGGAAGAACCGCATGGAAACAACCCTTCCTGTGCATCGGGCTCCCCTTTTTGGCAGGCTGTGAGTAGCGAGGGGAGGTGAGGTTCTCGCCTCACGTCCTCCATGCTACCTGCTCTTCCACAAATTAGGGGTGCCACCGTATGCCCTTCCTGATAGCCAAACGGCCCACAGTGGCCAGGCTGGCAGGCCCTTCTCTGTCTGAACATGCCTCATATGATTCCGAGCATGCCAGACAACCCAGATTTCCATCTGTGCTTTTTTCATGCCAACACATTAAGTTTTTCTTCCCTTTGTTCCGACGTGCCCGTGCCGTTACCCCACCATTTCCAGGAACAGGGCCCCAAAGTCCCAGACACATGGGTCCTCCCCCCCCCACACACACAGCCCTCAAGCATCTCAGAACAGAGCTCTATCATCCCCAGCCAGCCTGGGCAACGGATGGGAGACGGTGCTAGGGACAGCGGGAGCCAAGGAAAACACGCTCCCCGTGATCCTGGTGCCAATGGTCCTCAGCTCCGTCCCCCAGTGTGTGGAGCGGGGGGAGCGCTGGCAAATGGGACTGCTGGCTGGCGGCAGGAGACGCCTTCCACATGGCACGTGAAAGAACTCCCACCAGGCCCAGTGAGCCGTTCCGAGCCAGGCCTGGCCAAACGGCTCCAATGACGGGCCGCTCGTCCTGGGTGCGGGGCAGGCCTGCCCCGGCGCTTGTTTGCGTGTTTATGGCAAAAGCCGCAGCTGGAGGAGGAGGGGGCTGCAGCAGCCCCGGCGAGCATATGGGCCTGTGAGCTGAGGGCTGCCCCCCACAGTTTATGCAAATGCCTAGAATGCTTTCCTCTCCGGAAAGGGATTCCAAGTGTCAGTCATTTTATACGATTGCACTGAGGCGCTGTGTGCAAGATTTTGCCATTTCAAACTTGGTAAGAAATGTCACAAGTTCCTTAAAACCAACAAGGTTTGGTTAGGCGAGACCAAAGCTGCCCATTCCTGAGCTAAAAGGACTGACCACCACCAGGCCTGGGGCGAAACAGCTTCCATGTTCCCCGGCTGGAGGCATTATTTAAACAATCCAGATCTATTTACTCGCTCTGCATAATTTATGCCGCATCCAAGAGCTTGGGTCTGCAATGAATTTCGAAAGCTGCACCATCTGTCTGGCAAGCCCAGAACAAGGAGACGACAAGAAACTGAGACCTACCCTTCTATTAACAAAATTTAGCACACCCACATTCTGCAGGCACAAACTACAAGCAGTCATGCATATCTCCACCTCCAAAGGGGCTAGAATGTTGCTATTATTTTTTTAAAGAGGCACACACTCCCAAGACTCCAAGCATACTACTCCAAGTCTCTGAGTTAGGTACTGATGAACATGTGATCCAGTTTAATGGAGTGTTTTCACTTCCCACAGAGTCCTGGGAATTGTTGGCCTAGGTTTAAGATGCACAGATGCTTCTCAGCTGTACCAGACGCCACTTCCCAAGCTGTTGTTGACTGAATGTGCAACATGCCGGGTGCCTGGAATGTGCCAGCCCAGACCCAGAAGCAGGTACTGCTTCCAACGCCCAGCAGCCAAATATAATGCCATTGCTTATATCAAAACAGGAACCCGAATGTCAGACTGCAAACTGCCGCTGCCCAACCAGACATCTCCTTTCCATTTCACAATCATTCACGAGAACACATGGCCGCACAACAGCTCTAATCCAAGCTAAAAATAACATTAAAACCGTTTTCCTCATCCCCACAAACCCATCTGCTCTGCCCTCTCGCAGCTGCTGCCCCAGAGAAAGACCTGGGAGCCGCAACCAAGCCACGATCCAGCCCAGCAGGTTCTAAAAGCAACGCGGCCCAGCCACGAGGAACGAGCCCCTAGCCCGTGCCCGATTATCCTGAGCCGAGACGCGACCTGCAGCTCGGCGTCCGTCCTGCGTAACACCAGGCCCTCCTTCACATGCGTCTGTGCGCCAGAGGGGTCAAATCCCTAAATTCGATTTCGGAGCGGCTGCAGGGTGCAAAAGCCAAAGGGATGCGGCCGAACATTCCTGCCATGCTTGCTTGAAGCGCCCCTGCCAGTCCGGGGGCTTTCAGAAGCGCAGTGGCCTCCTAGCGATGAAAAACCAACTGTGCAAAAGGCGGGAGGCCACCCATCGGGGACAGTGCTGGCACCATCCAGGGGCCGCCGGGGCTCCAGGGTGGGCCGGGCTTGCAGGCCAAGGGAACGCCAGCGCTCGGGGCGCCCACGCCCCAGACAAGGGGTCTGCTGCAGCCTCCGCCTTGGTGTCGCATGGGCTCGGAAGGGCCCAGCTTGCTAAAGCTGGGAAAAGACCTCCGCAGCCCGTGGCTGGCTGGGGAGCGCTGGAAGGAAAGGCCTTTTTCCTACTTGAGCACGCATGGGGTCGAGCTTAAGCTGCAGCTTCCCCAGGCTGGCCCCAGCCTTCCCAGGGCCTATCTTGCAAGAAGCCGCCCGTCAGCGCTTGGCGGCTTTTAGACAAACACAGTCCTGAGTCACGCCAGGCTGCAAGGGCTCAGCTCCTTCCTCTTTCCTGCTTTCAGGGAGGAGGCCTGTGGGCAAACTGGGGCCGCCGCCATCCTCTGGGCCCCCAGTGCAGTGTGCATGACATCTCCGGTGCATTGGAAATCCCCCAAAATGCCCGTGAGCCGCTCGGGGGTCATACGAAGGAAGCGACTCA